GGGGGGGGGGGTACTTCCTCTCCCCCAGCTCCCATAAGGCTTTCAATCCAAGGCCAGGTCGGACTTCCTGTCCCCCTCCTCCCACCAGCCAAGTCAAGTGCCCTCTCATCCCCCACCCCAAGCAAGACCTGTGTCCCTGGCCTTACCTCCAGTGCCCCTCAGAGCTGCCCTAGGACGCAGCTTGCCCCTGCCCCAGCCATCTGGCTCAGGGACACTGCCTGGGTCAGGCCTTACCTCCTTCGGCCTCTTTGGTTGAGCAGACTAGGTAACACCTCATCAGGCCTGGGCTCCTGGCCAAGTATTCCAAATTCCAGGAGATGGACTGCGGCCTCAGAAAAGCCCTCTCTGACCCCTCCCTCCTGTGCGATTACAGGCTTAAATGCAGCCTTCCCTTGACCTGAGCAGGTGTCTGTGCTACTGGTCAATGCCCCTGCCTAGGCTAGACTCTTAAGTAGAAAGGGGTAAGTCTCAGTCCTCTCTGTGTCCGTCCCAAGGCTGCACGTAACTCTAGGGTGCTCTTGGAACACACTAAAAGGGAAGGAGGAAGGAAATAAAATACATCTCAAGTGTTGGCACACTGTCCTCACCCCCATCCCCCACTGAAATCCTGTCCAGCAGGTGGGACCAATGGCCTCAGGCCAAAGGGGATGGTGGGCAAGGACTTAGGTCTCAGGTCTGATCCAAGAACAAGCCAGCAGGTGAGCCAACACCATGTTCTGGGGGCTTCCCCATCCCCATGCAGTTTTCAGGGTCTCAGGGCTCCAGAGCTTGAGGTACCCCCTGACAGCATCTCATCCAGGGAGCCCCAACACTTTGGGCTTTCACAAACCAGTACACTGTTTAACAGAGGGGTTGGGAATGTTACAGGGTTAGTGTTTTATTTTGTCTAGATGTTAAAATCCCCAAGACCATATACTATCACTAGCACAAAAGAAAGTATAACTTAATACTAACAAAATTACAAAAAAGTATAATTTGATACTAAAAGAAATCAGAAATTTTAAAGTTAATGTATTTAGATCAGCAATTTTCAACTGGTGTGCCGCAAGAATTTTTAAAACATGCAATACCTATTTAGTCAGGGGCACTGACAATAGCCATCCGGTGTGAATGCCCTGTCTTGAACCATATATATCATATAATAGAGTTGCATCTTACCGGTCATGTCGCATAATAAGGTTACACCTGATTGGTTAATTCTTGGTACCAGAAATCCTTATATATAAGTATAGGCACCAGATTTTTTTAAATAGCACTCTGGAGCAAAAAGGGTAGGTAATTACTGTTATTATTTTTTCTGTAAATCAATTAAAATTATACTTTTTTTTGGTCAGATAGGCAAAAAATATATTTTTTGGTGTGCTGCAAAATTTTAATAATTTATGTATACCATGAAATGGAAAAGGTTGAAAATTGCTGCATTTAAGAAATTTTCTTATTTCTTTTATCATGGACCCATGAAAACTTAGTCCTGAGACTGGCCTGTGTGAATCACAAATTGAGTCCAATGTCCTTGTGCCCTAAAGATGCCCCCCCGGGTACAGGGTGACTCACCCAAGGACATACAGCACTGTGTGGCACAACAGGGACCAGAAGTCGAAAGCCCAGAATTCTAATCTAATGCTTGTCACATGATGTAAAGGTTTCAAAATTGAGACAGATCTAAGGCTCTCACCACTGACTATATGTGTCCTTTGGACAAGCCGCTGAATGTCCCCAAGCCTCAGTCTCCCCATTTGGAAAACAGGCTTATTCATAACTGAGTGCCTCATTTACACAGTCTATCTTTGGGTTTTCTGGAAACTCCCAGCAGCAGATCAATTGAGTGCAGAAAGCAGCAGCTGTTTTTTGGTTCCAGCATTGGCCTGACCCTTCAGAGGCCAGGTCTCCATAAGGGTGTTGGGGGTCATGACTCAGGGTCACCACCGTGGGAGGTAACAATAGGACAGTGGATGGCAATGCCCTTTGCAAACTGTAAAGCACTTTAGAAAGGTTAAGATTTGACTCCTAGCTGGTACCAGAAGTGAAAGGTATTCAGAATTAAAAGACTGAAGAATGGCGCAACGAGTAACTGAATGTCTAGAACAAGGGTGAGTGCTGCTGTGGCACTATTTCACTCCACACACATGTACATACATGCATATGTGTATCCGAATGTCATGCAGTATCTGCCAGAAGCTGACATGCTGTCTTTGAGTGAGAAGGAAGGCACCCCCAAACCCTGGTCCCCTCTGCACTTCCCACCACTCCTCTCATCTGCAGCCTGAGCTGGCACTCAGCGTGCGGAGGGAGTCTCTTGCAGAAGATCTTTTTCTCTTCGTGGCTCCAAGGCTGTGGT